GATCACCATAAACGTGGTCAAATTTCAGAATGACTACACTTTAGTTGTTCTACATAGGAGCAAAATTGGCAGATAAATGGTGCAAAATCAGCAGGTCCCGTGTCAGCAGATGGGTGATCTAGACCCGTTTCACATTGATTATTTCTGTATTTAGTATCGTGTCATCTATTTTTTTTTACGTTCCACAGTTATGCTTTATATTTTGCAACTCACTATTCTCATTTTTAATGCTAATTTTTCTCTATTCATATTGTTATTTTTGTCATAACATTCTCTATCCTGTAAACCCCAACCAGACCCTCTTGATCATGTATTGGCTTCCTAACTTGCACTTTAAATCTAACAAAGTTTGTTTTATAGCTGTATCCAGAATAACAATAAGAAGAAATGACATGATTACCAATAAGACAACTCCTCACCAGAGACCAAATGAAGTAGAAAATAGAAACCCAAATCACCATACAAGTATCGTGGGCTTCAATCCCTTGTCTGGGGTACTAATAGACTGAGGACACGTTTAAAATAGATATCAACTTTTTTTCACTGCCAAAACCCCAGGCAGATGACCCTTACTGTGTGCCACCAAAATAAACTATAGTATACAGTCCCATAAATTAATACAAACAAACTAAATTATGTTCTACATTTCTCGCAACTAGAAATACTAAAATTGTTGATGTGGTTCATAAGTGTTTTTCGTTTCTCGTTTTTTATATAGATTAGACTGTTGGTTTACCTGTTTGAATTGTTTTACACTAGTAATTTTGTGGCCCTTTATAGCTTGCTGTTCGGTGTGAGCCAAGGCTCCGTGTTGGAGGCCGTACTTTGACCTATAATTGTTTACTTTTTACACATTGTGACTTGGTTGGAGAGTTGTCTCATTGGCACTCATACCACATCTTCTTATTCATGTATACAACATCCCCGTACAAAATAGAAAATTTGAAAAATGTTTGTCTGCCATGGTTGCCGGAAATGCAGATTCTAATACAACATAATAAAATAGTAATATATTAATTTGAAATTAAAACGACAGACACATACAGATTATACCGTTTTCGATATTTCAAAGTTTAACGTTGCTAAGCGCACAAATCCAAGCAGATTAGTCAATGACGTCATCATTGTCCAATGAAAAATAAGTATGAAAAAGTCCGGTCATAAAACTATTGACCGGGGTAATAGTCTTTGAAACTATTGACTGGCAAATAGTCTGAAATGAAGTAGATCAAATATTTCATTAGTTTTTATATAGAAAAAACATACTGAGGTATAATAAAATTAAATAATAATACATTTCAAAATGATTTACATGATATCTCATTATGGCATTACTTCACTCCGTACATGAACCCAGTCTATTTTCTGTAGTTGTATGTATTAATAATATATAACTTCTATGCAGTTGATCTGAAACTAATATGTGCTATATATCGGCAATAATGTGTTCTTAAACCACAGTGATGCTAGCAGAGACCAGAAACTCTTCATATATAAAAATAAGAAGATGTGCTATGATTGCTAATGAGACAACTCTCCACCAGAGACCAAATGACATAGAAGTTAACAACTATAGGTCACCGTACGGCTTTCAACAATGTGCAAAACCCATACCGCATAGTCAGCTATAAAAGGCCCCGAAATGACAAATGTAAAACAATTCAAACGAGAAAACTTACGACCTGATATACTTATTTAAAAAAACATAATCTATTTTCACGCTGACAAACACTTACACTCTGTAAACCGTTTTAAATCAATTGAGAAATCTTTCTCAAGTAACTGAGAAACTTTTAAAAAAATATGTTGCACGTACAACATCTATAGTTAATATTAATGCCCTATTTAGCTTTTTGACATATATAAATCATAAATGTCACTGATCATAGAAATATATTTAAGTTAATGAAACCTTCAAAAATCACAAAATCAATCGTAATATAATACCAATATAACACATATATAGTACAAAAAATAGTATATTTTAAAAGTATTTGTTATTTAACTGACTATATGAAGGGAAAAAAATAACTGATTATCAAACCAGATTGCAATGTAATTATGGCGATGCAATCATTACCAAAAATCGTCACAACTCAAAACGCTCACTTTCGTATGCATACATGTAGTACACCAAAAAAAAAATTAACATATCATCAAATTATGCAAATAATTCAACCGTGGCTATTTTCAAACTGACTGTCTTTTAAGTCAAGCTATGCAATCATCACCAAAAAAAACACTCGAGGTAGATAGCTGTCCAGAGTCCAAAACATAGCTATTTTTAAACAGAGTGTAGTTTAGAGTTAACTATGCAATCATCAATAAAACCCTCGAATAAGATTGTTCTCAAAATCCTACCGTAGCTACTAATTAAGTTAAGCAATTAAATAATCACCAAATCCAACAAATTAAATTTATGTCCAAAGTTCGTCTCTCGTGGCAATTTAATAATCTGTAGTAAAAAAAATCAGCCTTTTCCGGTAAGCTTTTGGTCATGGTATCAGCACCGATATATTGTGGTGAATCTAGGATCATTAACAATTTTTACAAAATCTTGTAGCAAAAGGACGTAGCAAATACGTAGAAACTATGCGATTAAGCTGAACATAATTTCTGTAATACGTCCATATGATAAATGCATACTTTTTACAAGTATCACTCAGAAATTTGTAAGTGTATATGGGTCACTCCCCGAGCTTTTCCATCAAATCTGGATGTCACAGCTAAATTTTGGAGAATGTTTTTTGCGTAATAATATGTTAACTTCATGGATAAAACTGTTGATTGCACCAATTTGCTCTAGCAATAAGAAGTCATAATTTTCGAATGACCCTGGAATAGGCATGCTTTTTATATGGATCCCAGTGAAAATGGAATAATACACAATTCCAAAAATACACGTTTTTCAGTCGAAAAATCTGAAACAAATGCCTCATCTCTTTGTAAACTTTTGTCAATTGATGAATGTCCGAATTGTCTCTTGATTTAAAAAAAAAAATTTCCGTCTTTGTAACTGAGATCACATGTTCCTAACCAAATGTAAAGTAACATTATATGATGTCTCTGTAGTTTAAATTCCAAATTATCTTTTAAATACGGCACCAATTTTAGGGTCAATCTTTACTTCCGAACACCGCCGAGCATCCAAAAAGACGACTAATTCCTTGTTGTTATGTCACTACAATAACAGGTCTGAAGTAAAAACAATGTCCAAATTTTATTCAAAAAAAAAAAAAAAAAAAAAATTTACACTCATCAGTCATTATGGAATTCATTACCAACTGGTCTGAAATATGTCAATTTTTTTTATATGTGGGACATATTGACAATTCAATATCATATTTAACGTATTCTATAAACAAGAAAATATTCAGTTTTAAATTTGTTTTTTGTTTATATCAAAGACATGTGAGGTGTAGATTTCTATAATGTACGTTTCGTGATGGGATCTTCCGTCTACCTGGATCATAGAATAGAATAGAATAGAAAATTTTATTTTAAGTCGGGTTTACATGAAACATTACAAACATAAGTTCTGTAGAGCTTTTCGCCGACATTAATAACAATAACAACACATACAATATTAATACATATAAAACATATAAAACATACACATTAGACATACAAAGTAAGACAGCTTTATTGCATAAGCAAAAATGTTCATATATAAAAGCAAAGCACAAACAAGTAAAGCACTAAACTAGATTATAAGCACATACAAAGCAGACGAAATAAATAATGCAAAACTAGTTCTAAAAGCTGCATGGAAAACTCAACATAAAAATCATAACATTAAGATCTGCAGGAGCCACATCTGCATGAGTTGCCATTCCAGTTGTTGATCATACTTTTAAACTGGTTCAGGTTCGACTGCGCACGGATCGCGTCAGGCAGCTCATTCCAGAGTGTAGCTCCAGCATACCTTAATGAATGAAGACCAAATTGTGTAGTTCTCACTTGTGGTACTTCAACAGTTTGTTGCATGCTTTCTAAAAGAGTAAAATTAATAATATCATGGAGATACACTGGTGACTCTTTGTGTAATATTTTAAAAGTTTCTATTGCCATCATTCGTAGACGTCTTATTTTTAAAGAAGGTAAACCAGATTTTAACAAAAGAGTTTCATAGTCATCACTAACATCTTCATAGATGAACCTCAAGGCACGTTCTTGTATTTTTTTCCATTTTTTCAGTGTTACAATTATGTACCCTCCCCACAAAAATGCCTAACCACAGGACAATATTTTAAATTAGACATAATATATGAGTGATAAATAATTAACCTTCCCAATTTCGATAGATGTTTTCCAATTCTTTTAATTGCCTTCATGTTTTTTTACAAATTTCAGAAATATGTGTTTTAAACTTAAGTTGATAATCTATTGTCACTCCCAGGAGCTTTACCTCAGTGTCACATACAATTTTATTCCCATCCGAATTGAATTTGATATCCCCACTTTATGATTTATTGCCAATGGCAATAGCCTGAAATTTATCCGATTTAGCTCTCATTTTGTTATTAGCAAACCAATAAATTAAAACTGCACTTTCCTTTTCCAAAGATTTAACTAATCCAAATAGTAAAATGGCAGACACAAATGGTCTAGATTTTAAATGACATAAGCATCTTGAGGTCGGAATCACCAATGTAAATCATATCTGAAACTTATTATTCCAATAAAGAGAGATCAAGAAAACTATGTGATTTTATGTTATTATTAATCTCAGTTATTAATACTGTTTTTATACTGAAATAGGCCTTTACAGAATATGTAAACAAAAACTGTCTAGCCCTATAGGAGGATATTACGATGATTGACACACATTTTTTTCTTTTAATTTTCTCCTAGTTATTTATGTTTTTTATCAGAGACAAATAAAATGTCTCTGATTTTATATATATATATATTTCAAAATTGTCATTTCCGGTACGTTGTGGTAGTCTTTGACCCATTGGTTATTAGCTTTATTGACTTTCCAACGAACCAGCATTCGGCAAATCTCGGCGGATTCCGGTACCCTACACCCCGGTTCTGCAGAGAAACTGGCATGGCCTCGGAAACAGAAAAGGCACAAACTGCCCAACCAGGAGGAGATACAATATTTGGGAAAATTGTTAGGGGTGAAATACCAACAAAATTTATCTATGAGGATGAGCAGGTATATTAAAAACACCAAGTGACGACATGCATGCAAATACGGTCTACTTTCGGTTTCTCTATACGTCATCATACGTCCCGTAACGTGGTATACATAACCTGTTAACCATAACGAAACATGCATTTGTTATACTAGGAGGCTGATTTAATGGGGTGGGGATGAAGGGAACATTGCCCCTCCCTTTATGGAGCTACATCAGGGTTCGACATTAACTTTTATACCAACTTGTCCAGTTGGGTAAGTGCCCTATTACTTTTACTTGTCCGAAAGTGAAATCTACATGCCCAAACTTTTACATGCTATTTTTGTGGTTGTAATGTAGTACATGCAGATAAAATATAGTTATCATGTATATGGGGTGTAAATTGATTATGGAGTATGAAAATATACTATTGGATCATTTACATAGAGATACTTATTTCATAATAATTTATCTAAGAAATGCCATTTCAAAAAACCCTTCTTGATAAACTGACAACAACTGACAAATTTGTTAAAGTTTAATTTCATTTTCTCTTTCAAGCTTTTACGTTTTTCCATCTTAGGGAAATACACATCCGATGTCAAATTATAAAGTTAGAACAACGAAAATAGACCTCCGCTTTCCATTGGTCGGTGGGAATAACACGTGCGTCGGAAACGCCCGAGTGGTGTCCCGATGGATAACGATAATGACGAAGCAACGCCGCGGCCGCCTGATTGGCCAATATTTTTAAACGTGATCTATTTTTGGTAAAATGGGGAATTCAGTGCGAACAATTGACGAAATATACGCATTGAAGGGGGGTTAAGACCACTTTACTCGACCGTGCGGTGTTATCACTGAGTAATCTATGGACAAAACAACAGACACTATTGATTTTGTGAAATTTTAATCATATAACACTTTTTTTTTCACTTGCCCGATCGGACAACCAAGATGATGTTTTTACTTGTCCGAATACGGCATTAGCTTGCCCCGGGCAATCGGACAACCGTAAGTGTCGGACCCTGTTAACATATATATTGTTTATAGACTTTTTACTCGTTGTCTAGTTTGGGCCATGTTAATATCTGACACACAAAGACATGACAGAGGGTAATCAGTTTATTATAGTTGCAACTGTGCCATTTGAGTATATATACAGTAACTGATCCTATATCACCTTGTTTATGACATTGACAATATGTTTCCATAGAGTTTTTATTTATGACGTCAATAAATAATACAGGTTCACGGAATGTTTACGCTGTCCACTTCAACTTTAAAAAAAGGATGGTGTTTATCCCAAATATTTCATTTGGAACAGTTGTAAGAGTTGCAGTATATAAAGAATAGCCATACATTGTATTTGTACTCGGCTCAAAAAAGATTAATACCTGATGTTTGTTTATATAAAAACTATTTGTCGGAAGTATATGATAAAAAGATTAATACATGTCCTTTTCCATATTGGCTTTGGTATCATCCCTCCACCCATCCCAGCTCTCGACTAACATCTCAGGCTGATATAGGCCCATGCGGTCTCTTGATGATACCTGGGCCGATATGGAAAAGCAGGGCTTGACAAAAACGCTTGTCCGATTGTTCGGTACCAGAGGACAAATAGGTCGGACAAGTAAAAGCCGTATCAAGCTTGTCTGATGGGACAAGTAAAATTAGTCTGTAGGAAATAAATGTTAAAGTTAAATCATTCTGTACATGCTGTAGAAAATGAATTAAATCGGACTTTCATGATCAAAGTAATAAACAAAAAACCTGAAAAGAAGATAAAAACAAATATTAATTTGACATGTTTACTTGCGATCGTTATTTAAAACTGGTTCTTTGTCAGATACTTTATAATAGATAAAACACATACTATTCTCAAAAACCAGTCTTACCGATCGATTCAATCGGAATCAGCGATGCGCTTTGTAGATAAGGTAACAAGAGAGTTCCGAAACTATCAGCTCCATGTTTAATAGACAGTTGGCCCCGTAGGAGACATACTGGGACCAAGACAAACCAGTACCTGGTTTCCCTACCTTATTCTGTTGCTTTATAATATATACATGTAATAAATATGATAAATTTTATTTAACAAAAATATTTTTTAAAATAAAAATAAAGAAATTATTGACCATAAAATTTCATAAAATCATATTTGATCATATAGACAAAACAATACTTGATCTTGTTGTTTGTGTTTGAATAAACATTTTAATATATTAAAAACAAAGCTGATTGTAGTGAGGCATTAATCATAATAATCAATATTTTATCAACATAAACATGATAAAAGACCAGGATACAAACCAAATGAGTGTATACTAACAGACCTACGAGACTGTGTCTCATGTGCAGAGTCTGATGAGACTTTGGCAATGATGAAAACTAGAACCTAAGTCCTGTGCCATGACTAGATTCAGTTATTCTCGACTCATATTTTTGAAAAAGATATCAAGACATAAATCAAATTATGTTCTATTGTTTTAATTCATTTTGTTCATTGAATCAGTTTAAAATGCAAAAAAGGTGAATATTAAGATTTATTTGGACAAGTTACAATTCCACTTGTCCTATTGGGCAAGTTGAAAAAAAAGTTATTGTAGAGGCCTGAAAAGGCTCATATAATAAATTAATCTCTACTTATATTTAAAGGAAATAAATCAGAATGGGTCAGTGATCTCTTGATACTATTTTCTGTAAGAGTGCAGAAGGTCATATTTAGATTTAAAGGTTAATTTCTGCATTAGCATGATTAGAAAATGATGAAAATATTTCTTGGTTGAAGAACATAAAAACAAACAAATTTGATCCTAATTGTATTTTTAGGCATGGAACATTTGTTTTGGTGAAAAGTGAAGTTGAAGACAAATATGAGTGCTGTTTTCAGTGACAGAAATTTTACCAATCTCCGGCGCAGAGTTCATATCCGTTCCGTACATGCTCCGCAATACTACACTTTTATATGAGTGTAGTGTTACGTAGTATTGAACAGAATGGATATGATCTCTGCGCCGGAGATTGAAATTTTACATGGTCTTTAATCCTTGGGTCACGCTAGGGACATATATGTCCCTTGACGACAGGCCATGCTAAAAACATGTCCCTCGTTACAATATGAAACAAAAAACATGTTAACAAACTTTTATTACTTGAACACTTTTTATAATATACATGATATATGAGCTGCGTCAGATAGAAATAGTAGCTAATGGACATTACACTACTGTAAATTCAGAAATTATTGCGTGCATTTATTATTGCGATTTTGTCATTTTAGACTTAATTGCGATTTTAATTTTTACGATTTTTGAGAAAAATCATGTTTAATTCATATAAAATATTTCAAAATGCGAGTTTAAATTATTGCGTTTACAACTCTGTCGCATTTTTCGCAATAATAAAAACCTCGCAATAATTTCTGAATTTACAGTAATTGTAACAGATCATACAGGGTTGTCATTCTTGTTATTAAATTATCAAATGATTTAAAGTACTGTCTTTTATTTTTCACAAGAAATCAGTTAAAGGTCCATTCTTTGTCCATATTTTTGAATTGGAAAAGTCAAGTCACTTAATCCTGCACACAAGAACATATTGCCGGTACTCTAGCTACATGTACTATCTTATTTACACAATAGTATAAATACAAAAATCATGCAAAAAAAAAAAAGAAGAGGGCTTATAAATAAAGTTATCATCAGTATTCCATTAGAAAAATAAAATAAAATGTGACTCTTTTTCTAGAGTACAAAACAGCATACACGAAAACACTGAAAAATTGTAACCTTTGTAAATGTTGTTGCCCACTAAAACCCCCATAGGGATTTTCAGAAGTTAGCAGGTATGGAGGTTTTTGATTTTTTTTATTGTTAAATACTGCATACAACACAATGTTCATTCTTAAAACCTTGTGGTGAAAGGGTTAATAAAAAATTTCATTTTTAGCTAAGGTTGCAATTCATGGACATTCATTCTATATAAAGTGTATAATTAACAAATATTTACTCATTCATTCAACTAGCCAGTGCTACTTTGGAGTTGTAATTATCTCCCTTTCACCAGAAAGAGATAACTAGAACTGATATTTAACTAATGTGTTTAATTATACTCTATTTTCTCCCATTCTTAATTTCTATTTGAGTTTAGGGCTGCCACTTTTACTGAAAATGAATGGCTACTTTAGCAATATCAGTTGGAGTTAATCTTAAGGAAGAAAAAACATTGGTGTCAGCCTAGAAATTGCCCATAATAAGTCAGTCAGGGGTACTACTTGTACAAGTAATCTTTATTTACTTGAAGAAGTAAAAAAAATATACTTGTATATGTTAATTATAATGTTTGAATAATCTCCCCTTAATTTTCTCAAAAATTCACTTGTATAAGTAAATTTTTTTATAATCCCACAAAAATTCTCAAGTTTTGAGACGTAAAAACATGCCTTTAATGATTTTTCCCAGGTTAGCTCATAATTTTTGGCCCGAGAACACAGTTATTTCGTAGTGCATTTCTTTTAGCCAAAAAATTCAAATTAAAAAAATCGCACCTGCTCTATCTCAAAAAGATTTTTTTCAGTGTAGTGTACTACTATTGATACAAATAATATCAAAATTATAGAAACTTCTACCAGCTCTAACTCAAAATATTGACAATTCTGTGTTAAGGGGGGCTAAAATTCAGTTTGACAGCTTCAGACATTCTAATGTTTGACCTTTTTTAACTGGACCAAATCACTACTTAACATAAAGATTCAGCAACCAAATTTTTTTAACATGTAATTCCATCCCCTTACTTAATATTTCATGCATAAACTATCAAGAAATAAATTGGGAAAGTGTATTAAAAAAAATGCAAGTTATACACTGTTCACACTAGGGACTATATTTGTGGACGATAACTGTGTCCTTGAACCTAATAGGATAGAAAGACTTGACCAATTTTAATAAAACTTTGCATGACCTAAGGGTAGGAAATTATAAGATAGTTGGTCAAGTTTCATGGCCATAGGATATATATTATAGAAACTAGGGTCATTTTAATATTGAAATTTGGATGTTTATTTTTGACGTTTAAATCAAATATTTTCAACTGTCAAGATTTTGGCCTAAAAAATTTAAATATTGCAAAAATTTGCTTTTTAAATACTCTTGAATATAATATAATAAGTATTAAAAGCAACAGAACACTCATTTGATTTATCACAGTTATTCAAAAGTCAAATTTATATGAGCCTGTGCCTGAAAATAGAGATTTTCGAATTAAGGGAAGCCTTACATAAACATGCATTCTTTCAACCAATTTGAAGTTTTTGAAGTTTTTTAATCACACATTATTCTTCCATATATATTAAATGTACTTTAAATGTAAAGAAAAGTTACAAAAGTATACCACATGAGTATAAAATGGTCTTAGGCCATGTAAGACTGGGAATTATTTAAAGTCGATTTAGGCCGTAGCCCATATTTACATACAAAAATGCACACAGAGGCTATAAGAAATGATTTGTTACTTTTTGCTCATTTCTATGCTAAGATGTTATGATACAAGAAGTCTAATTGCAAAAGGACTCTTGAATTCAACTTTTTTTTGCAGACAGTATGGTCTGATGACCAGTTTTTCACTTCTCAATGGAAAACTTGCATGTAGTTTTAGTCTCAATTGGCATATATTTGAACCACTTACTATCCTAAAGAAGAAAATTATGGTAACATATGAAATGAATAGGGTGTACTGATCATTGTAAAGTGTTTTTTTTACAGATTTAGTGAAATATTTGTGAAGGACTACAGATTTTATGTACAAAGCTCTTCACATTTCACATACATCAAACAGGCCGTTTAACCAGGGACATAAATACAAATATTCTGCACATTTTTTCTGTGATAATCTACTTTTCTCTAGATTCAGAGTTCACAAATGGTTAATTAAATTTGATTTAAGCATAGAAACACAAATATCAGGAACATAAAAAGCTGTCAGATAGAAAGTCAGCATGGCTCTTAGGCATACAATGGAAATTGCTTTAAAATGCTTATTTTAGCCGTATAATGCCAAAATGGGACATTTTAACAGAATTTCTGTCAAACAAAGATGTAAATCCTTTACTTTTATTGAGTTTGACAAATTGAAACCAGCAAACCATTCAGGAAAGTTGCCAAAGTACAGAATCTACATTTACGGAATTCATCTCTTAGGCCCAAGAACACAGTTATTTCGTAGTGTATTTCTTTTAGCCAAAAAATTCAAATTAAAAAAATCGCACCTGCTCTATCTCAAAAAGATTTTTTCAGTGTAGTGTACTACTATTGATACAAATAATATCAAAATTATAGAAACTTCTACCAGCTCTAACTCAAAATATTGACAATTCTGTGTTAAGGGGGCTAAAATTCAGTTTGACAGCTTCAGACATTCTAATTTTTGACCTTTTTTAACTGGACCAAATCACTACTTAACATAAAGATTCAGCAACCAAATTTTTTTAACATGTAATTTCATCCCCTTACTTAATATTTCATGCATAAAATATCAAGAAATAAATTGGGAAAGTGTATTAAAAAAAATGCAAGTTATACACTGTTCACACTAGGGACTATATTTGTAGACAACGAAAACCAAAGGACGATAACTGTGTCCTTGGACCAGAGTTCAATGTTTCATATCATTAATTCAACAAGAAACTGATGTGCAAAGATCTTAAGTATTTGGGCAAGGCCTTCAAAAATTGCTCCTTGGGGGCTTGTAAATGAGGAGTGTTCTGAAGATAACAGACAAATGAGATTTTCATTGTCCATGAAATTACACTTAAATGATTAGTTAAGACATCTGCAAAGCACAGACAATTTAAAATTCTATTAGAGCAAAGAAGTCCTAAGAATCCAAGAAAAGAAGATAGGATGACTTTTTCACTTATATAAGTAAAAAAATCTGAATATCTAAGGGACATAACTAAGCCAATTTTTTTTTACCTATACAAGTAAATAAAATACACTTGCATAAGTAACCCTACAAATTTACTTATATAAGTATATTAATATTACTTCTTCAAGTAAATAAAAATTACTTGTACAAGTCAGTACCCCCTGACTGTAAGTACTGGGGAAGACAGCAAACATTCACCAGACTAAAGGGGACCATATGAAGTGCTTTTACACCTGTTCCAATACATTTTGAAGCAAGTGGGAATTTGATTAAAATAATTTAATTTGTAAATAGATTTATATTATAGACCAAATTCTAGTTTTTTTTATAAATGAGTTACACCAGTTGACCGAGGTTAATCGGTGTAAATAATGTCAACAAACAATATACTCCTACTGTGACGTAATAACTAACATTGTGAAATTTTCTAGAGACATTGATAATAAATACATTATACTTGACTTTTCAAAGGTAAATCTTTACTTTTCCAAGTAAATTGTTGGTTGACACTAAAAACTGCCATTTTATTAAACTCTCATTTTCATATCATGAAATGTCCATTATGAATTATTGATATCTTCAAATAAGTTAATTTAAACTTTAATAATTTATTCCGCTATACAATTTAATACATTAAAAGTGTCAGGAATGAATGACTCCTTGGCTGCACCATTGGGAGTAATGGGACGGAATCATAAACCTGTAAGACGAGAAGCGCACAAGGGATTAAGCTATGATTGTATCTCTATAAATCCATTCTACAGGCTTTGGTTAAATGTCACAAAAGTGTTTTAAAGGACTTTTGTTGTTTTAACTTTATTAAAACCACCCTGATATGATGATTTAAGAGCACAAACTGTTATCATTACAATACTTTCATTAGACCAATCAATTTATATCTTTTTAGTGTGTAGCTTTCAATGATATCAGTACTTTTAGTAGCTATATAGACCAATCAATTTATATCTTTTCAGTGTATAGCTATCAATGACATCAGTACTTTCAGTAGACCAATCAATCTGGAATGAGTTTCACAAAAAATCTTATGACTAAAGTTGATCGTTTATAGTATACTGAATTGTGTAATACTTACGATCAACTTTAGTCATAAGATGTTTTGTGTAAATGGTCTCTTTTTCAGTGTATAGTTTTCAAAGACTTTCTGTAGACCAATCAGTCTGTATCTTATCAGTAGGTAGCTTTCAATGACATCAGAACTTTCAGTAGACCAATCAATCTGTACATTTTCAGTGTGTTGCCTTCAATGACATCAGTACTTTCAGTAGACCAATCAATCTGTATCTTTTCAGTGTTTAGCATTCAATGACATCAGTACTTTCAGTAGACCAATCAATCTATATATTTTCAGTGTGTTGCCTTCAATGATATCAGTGCTCAAGCTCCAACACATTTTCTAGTTGTACCAAAGAAACCAGTTGTTAAGTTATCTGATGCTGAAGATGCTGATGAACAGGTAATTATATATGTATTTTTTTATTTTCAGTGTGTTGCCTTCAATGATATAGCACCTGAAGCTCCAACCCATTTCCTTGTCCTACCTAAGAAACCTCTAACCAGGCCTGCAGAGACTGAAGATTCTGATGAACAGGTAATACATGATATAGCACCTGAAGCTCCAACTCATTTCTTGTCCTTCCTAAGAAACCTTTAACATGTCTAACCAGGCCTGCAGAGACTGAAGACTCTGATGAACAGGTAATGTAGCATGGATTAGTCTAGTCGGTCATACATTGGTGTTATGTTGTCAGCGTCAGTTACATTATTTGTTAAAGTTTGTGATGAGGTTACAAAGTTGAGACATATCTCTGTGTCTACAGTGTATTCTTCAAATTAAAGGTTCTTGATTTTCATGCCATGGGTAATGTCTAACTTGAATGATTGATTATTGGTTGCTTATTGACCAGTGGTGGACATTTCATGCATATTCAGGACGAGAACAAATTGACCATAAATCCAATAGGTAGTAGGATCTGCAAAGTGGGTGTCATTGACAAGAATATCAAATCTTAACTGCCACTGAAAAAGGGTATACTGGGTATAAGCTGAAATTTTGCTGTGAAACAGGCCAGCCACCTACAAACCTTTCAATCAGTATCATACATTAAAAACGACAACAATAATGTAGATTAATCTGATATCTACTTATACTGTAGTATGAAATAAAATACATGGATAACCTAGTAGTTAGTACTATTGATTTATTAATCTGATTTCTACTTATACTGTAGTATGAAATAAAATATATGGATAACTTAGTAGTTAGCATGGTTAGTACTACCCGGTATTCATTTTTCAGGCAATCTCTGATTACTTAAACGTTGCTGGCTTTATGCAAATATTTTGTGCATATTGAGTACTAGAGCAAAAAAACAATTCATACAATAGGTAGGTTCTACAATGAAGTTTTCTGAGGTGAAGGCCTTGATATTTGGACTGCACACTCACAAAACGAGGGTATGTTGGATAGGACCAGAAATTATGCCTTGCAACAGGCCACCCAGAGTTGTTGGAACAACCATTAGCAACTGTATTGTGTAACTGTATACATGTATAAGAACTAAAAAACACGAAAGGGAGTTATTCATTCAAAATATTATTAATCGTGCATAGAGGATTTTATTCCTTTTGTAGTTGTGTTCAATGCTGCTTTCTGTACACTCATTACCACAAAATCAGAATTGTTTGCAATGTTTTTTTTTTCAAAAAATTCAATGGAATTAGTGTGGCATTTATAAGAATTGAAACATTGTTTTATATAACATTTGGCCTTTGTTCAACAAATATAAAGATAAGTGCACCCAATAATAATTGTTTTTTTTCAATATTTGTTTTGAATGTTATCTTTTACATACAAACTGACAAGCAATGAATTTAAAGTCATTATCTAACTTTTACATAATTAACTTCAGCATGTGGAAAGTCTTTTGGGGATTGTTTAAGTCAACATTTCAATTCCTAATCATAGAATTGTGAATCAATGAATTAATAAAAGTTTAAAACACATTAGCACTGGAAGTTTTCTGTTAGAACCTATGTTCTGACTTCAAATTGCATTAATTTATCATGTTTATCTGATTGTGAATGGTTATCAGGGATTCAAGATTATAAATGCACACATTGATTTCTGAATATTCGGTTTTTTTTTTGTATATATTTATAGATTTATATATAATCCTTCAAAATTCTTTTTCAGAAAAAACTGCATGTTTTATTTTATTATTTCAGCTACTTGGACATTTATTGATAGTTGCTAGGAAGGTTGCTAAGGATGTTGGATTAGCTGATGGATTTAGAATCACCATTAACGACGGTGTCAAGGGAGGTCAATCTGTTTACCATCTACATGTGCATGTGATGGGAGGTCGTCAAATGGGATGGCCTCCAGGATAAATTCACTTATTTTCATGTTTTTATTAAGTGGACAGACAACGCAGTAGAAAGAGAGTTTTTGAAACTGAAACTCAACGTTTTGAAATTTAAAAAAAATACTGTTAATAAGTGATTTATATGATAGTGGTTATGTGTACTAAATGCTTTCTGATGCAATATTTATCTACATGAAGATTTACTCCATAAAAATCTAAAAAACTTTTATTATTTCTTTGTTTTTATAAACATGGCCAGCATCAATAATTGCCTTTACTATGTTAATTTTTATACGACCGCAAATTTTGCGGTCGTATATTGGTATGACGTTGGCGTCGTTGTCATCGTCGTCCGAAGACACATTGGTTTTCGCACTCTAAATTTAGTTTAAGTGAATGGATCTCTATGAAATTTTACCATAAGGTTCAATACCACAAAAGGAAGGTGGGGATTGATTTTCGGGGTTATGGTACCAACAGTTAAGGAATTAGGGGCCAAAAAGGGGCCAAAAATAAGCATTTTTGTAACTTCCAGACATAACTTGTGTGTTAGTGTATGGATCTCTCTGACATTGTACCACAAGGTTCCATATCACAAAGGGAATGCTGGAATTGAGTTTGGGGGTAATTGCCTCCAAATTTTAGAAATTAGGGGCCAAAAAGGGGCAAAAAACAAGCATTTTTCTAGTTTCATGACAATAACTTGTGTGTAAGTGTATGGATCTCTCTGACATTGTACCACAAGGTTCCATATCACAAAGGGAAGGCTGGAATTGATTTTGGGGGTAATTGCCTTAAAATTTTAGGAATTAGGGGCCAAAAAAGGGGCAAAAAACAAGCATTTTTCTAGTTTCATGACAATAACTTGTGTGTAAGTGTTTGGATATTTCTGAAATTGTACCACAAGGTTCCATATCACAAAGGGAAAGCTGGAATTGAGTTTGGGGGTAATTGCCCGAAACGTTCAGGAATTGGGGGCCAAAAAGGGGCCAAAAATAAGCATTTTTCTATTTTCCAAACAATAACTTGTGTTCAAGTGTATGGATCTCTCTGAAATTGTACTGCAAGGTACCATACCACAAAGGGAAGGCTGGGATTGATGATGGGGGTAATTGCCTCAATATTTTAGGAATAAGGGGCCAAAAAACAAGCATTTTTCTAGTTTCAGGACAATAACTTGTGTGTAAGTGTATGGATCTTTCTGAAATTGTACTACAAGGTTCCATATCACAAAGGGAAAGCTGGGTTTGAGTTTGGGGGTAATTGCCGTAAACGTTTAGGAATTTGGGACCAAAAAGGGGCCAAAAAACACATTTTTCTAGTTTCCAGACAATAACTTGTGTTCTAGTGTATGGATCTCTCTGAAATTGTACTGCAAGGTACCATACCACAAAGGGAAGGCTGGGATTGAGTTTGGGGGTGATGAATCATAAGGGGGTTCAAAAAATTGGGGGGGGGGGGGGGGGGGGAGTTTCCTTTTTTTTTCTTTTTTTCCTTTTTTTTTTCTTTTAAAATTTTCCATTTTAAGTTGGTTATTTCTGATTTATATTTAAAAGCAAATAATAATGATATGGTAGGAGATACACACCAAACAGGATGTGTAAATTATTATATAATAAGTATTATGCAATAGCAAGAAATTTTCAATTGCACAGTATTGCACAATAGCAAGAAATCTTCAATTGCACAGTATTGCGCAATAGCAAGAAATCTTCAATTGCACAGTATTGTGCAATAGCAAGAAATATCCAATAGCACAATATTGCCCAATAGCAAGAAATTGTCAATTGTACAGTATTGCGCAATAGCAAGAAATATTCAATTGCACAGTATTGTGCAAAAGAAGATACTTCCTATAAATTGCTTATTTCTTGACCAATTTCAATGGGGTTTTATTCTTGAATTCTTGGGGTTCTTTAATATGCTGAATCTAACCGTGTATTAAGTTTTTGGATTTTGGGCCCCGTTTTTAAATTGGTCCACATTGAGGTCCAAAGGGTCCAAAATTAAACTTTGTTTGATTTCATCAAAAATTGAATTATTGGGGTTCTTTGATATGCTGAATCTAACCGTGTATTTAGATTCTTAATTTTTGGTTCCGTTTTCAAATTGGTCTACATTAAGGTCCAAAGGGTCCAAAATTAAACTTAGTTTGATTTTAACAAAAATTGAATTCTTAGGGTTCTTTGATATGCTGAATCTAAACATGTATTTAGATTTTTGATTATGGGCCCAGTTTTCAAGTTGGTCCAAATCCGGGTCCAAATTAAACTTTGTTTGATTTCAACAAAAATTGAATATATGGGGTTCTTTGATATGCTGAATCTAACCATGTATTTAGATTTTTGATTTTTGGGCCCCGTAATCAACTTTGTCCACATTGTGGTCAAAAGGGTCCAAAATTAAACTTTGTTTGATTTCATCAAAAATTGAATTCTTGGAGTTCTTTGATATCCTGAATCTAACCATGTATTTAGATTTTGGATATTGGACCATAATAGGTGAATGTCCAATTTAAAATTTTTAAGTTCTTAGACCACATTCATTCTGTGTCAGAAACCTATGTATGCTGTGTCAAATATTTAATCACAATCCAAATTCAGAGCTGTATCAAGCTTGAATGTTGTGTCCATACTTGCCCCAACTGTTCAGGGTTCGACCTCTGCGGTCGTATCAAGCTGCGCCCTGCGGAGCATTTTATTTGTGTTGTTTCGTTGTTGTCATTGCCGGTATAACTCACAGAGATTATTTGAGAACAATGAAGTTAAAAAATCAAGAACTGCATTCTCTTAAAGTCATATGATCCTCAGTGGTCAGCACTTCTGTGTTGACATAAATTGTCATTGATATGGTCATACTAATTATTTACAAAGTTAAAATTTTTCGAAATATTAAGGATTTTCTTCCTCAGGAATAGATTGATTACTTAAGCTGTATTTGGCAAAACCCTGGGAATTTTGGGTCCTCAATGCTCTTCAACTTCGTACTGATTTGGCCTTTTTAACTTTTTTGATCCGAGCGTCACTGATGAGTCCTGTAGCGTGCGTCTGGAATACAGATTTTTAGCCCTGGTATCCATGATGATTTTTTTTCTCTTAAAGTCGTATGATCCTTCAAATTTGAATGTTTTATATACCTGAATGGCTAAATTGTATGAAAAAAGATGCATACATATACTTTTTAAAAGAGAATTCCTTATGTTATCCAAATCTACAGGATAATAACTTCTTATGATTTATTGGTATTCTGTATCCTAATTCGTTGACAGTTTTTTCCGGAATTATCAGTCATTGTTTTTGATCATCACTCACAGAATAATATTTTTTTTGTCCATTACACAATAAGGATTCAATATGAATGCTCAAACAATTTAGTTAAGAATATATGCATACATTGGTTCAATTATTTCTTGAACATTATAATCCTCTACTGGAGTGAACTAATGGGCTAATGGAGCAGAAACTTCGGGCACCTTAGTTCACCCCAAGTTTTGTTTCATAGGTATATCAGCAGGAATAAGATGGATAGTGCCACTGTTGGAGCAGAACCTTTATAACACTTCTAGAGCTCCTGTGTTCGCTCTCGGGTTTTAGCCCCCTACCGACGAAGTCGAAGGGGACTTAAGGTTTGCTCTGTCTGTCTGTCTGTCTGTCTTGGAAAAACAATTTTCCAGACTTTTTTTCTTCGTGCGTTCAAGAAGATATTGATTTGATATTTGGTTTATTGATTTATCATGACAAGTTACAGGTCAAGCTCAATTTTCACGATTTTAGCTTTTCTCTTTGTTCAGTTAAAGCCCTTTCCCTAGAATCAATTTTTTTTTATGAAATACTTATTAATTAGTAGATTTCTGTTCATAGGGAAATAACTCATTTTCTAAAAGACAAAATGACAATTTGGATTTTTTTCTTTTCCTTTGGTAAATTGTTTGAAGAATTTAGTGGTAGGATTGTTTGTCATTCTTGAAGATATTGATTTGATAATTAGTATATAGTTTTATTGTCGAGCCTGCGACTTTTGTCGCAGAAAGCTCGACATAGGGATAGTGATCCGGCGGCGGTGGCGTTAGCTAACTTCTTAAAAGCTTTATATTTTAGAAGGTGGAAGATCTGGATGCTTCATACTTTGTATATGGATGCCTCATGTTATGAAGTTTCCGTCAGTCACATGTCCAATGTCCTTGACCTCATTTTCATGGTTCAGTGACTACTTGAAAAAATAGTTGAGATTTTTTGTAATGTTAAATTCTCTCTTATTATAAGTAATAGGATAACTATATTTGGTATGTGCAGACCTTGCAAGGTCCTCATGCCCGTCAGACAGTTTTCACTTGACCTCGACCTCATTTCATGGATCAGTGAACAAGGTTAAGTTCTGGTGGTCAAGTCCATATCTCGGATACAATAAGCAATAGGTCTAGTATATTCGGCGTATGGAAGGACTGTAAGGTGTACATGTCCAACTGGCAGATGTCATCTGACCTTGACCTCATTTTCATGGTTCAGTGGTTATAGATAAGTTTTTGTGTTTTGGTCTGTTTTTCTTATACTGTATGCAATATGTCTACTATATTTGGTGTATGGAATGATTGTAAGGTGTACATGTCTAGCTGGCAGGTGTCATCTGACCTTGACCTCATTTTCATGGTTCAGTGGTCAAAGTTAAGTCTACTTGGTTAACGTAAAGTTTATGTGACAGTTGTAATAAAGCTTTATATTTAGGACTATCAACATAATATCAATGATTAGTAAAGAAGGCGAGACATTTCAGCGTGTGCACTCTTGTCATAACAAGTAACAGATCAAGTTGGAATTTTGTTCCAGTCTGATAATTTTGTGCAGAGTTATGGTCTTTGGACATAGAACATTCACTTAAATAATCAGTTTTCAACAGTTTTTTTCGTCATGCTTGAAGATTTTGACATGATATTTTTATGTAGTTTACACCATGACAAGTTAAAGATCATGTTAGAATTTCGTTCCATTACAATGAATTTGTAACCGGTAGGGGACTATGTATTGCCATGCAATACTCACAGAATGCTTGTTGATATGGTTATTGTTGCTCAAATATTAGTTTTATGGGAAGCGTTTTGGTTTTTCGGATTTTTTATCGTTTTGTATAGGTATAAATATCAAACTATGTAAAATATATTTAGGTAATGTCCTCACATTATATATATTGTATCACCACGGTATAAGCAATTCATATTGAATTCAATTGCTCCAG